AGAAAGAAAGAAAGAAAGAAAGAAAGAAAGAAAGAAAAAGAAAGAAAGAGTACAGCTGGCAAAAGAAAGAAATAGGTTATGAGCACAAGTAAGTGAGGCGAGTCAGGGGTGGGTGGTGAGGGTAACACATATAAGTACACAGAAGTACAAATAGGAAGTGGTAACATTAAAGCAGAACCTCTAACAAGTTATTGTGATGAGCTCTTTGGTTAAACTGTATTTGGTGAAAAAGCTCAGAGAGCCTACAGCCTCATTTTTGATTATATTTTCACCCAGAACATTCATAAAGCTCATTTACATTCATGCCACATTTACTCTGGTGTTCTCCTCCTCTTCTTTCTCTTTTTATCTCCTTTAACATCTCCCTCCATTTTCTCTTTCATTAGCTCTCCTTCCTCCTCTTTCATGTCCCTCCTTCAGCAGGGGCTGAAGCGGCAAGGCTGGTGGCTTCTCTCCGCGGCGTCCTTGCYGTRGTTTTGGCGCAGCTGTTTGGCTGTGATAAAAGAGAGCAAAGAAGAGAAGTTTTCACGCTAATTACGGCACAATAATGAAGCGCTCGGTAAAAAGGCGCGGCGAGAACGAAGGTCAAACAGTCATTGGTGGAAAAGAGACTGGAGTCTGTTAGAGAGCGTCTGTGAAATGAGAGGAGACTGCAGTAATGGATGGAGGCGTGTTAAAAACATTTACCGCTCACACTGGCAGTACTTCTTGGACTTTACCAGCATGGCCTTCATTTTCATCATTCTCTATTAAAAGAAAATAAATAAAGGCAACATTATAGTGTTTGCTCAAACCACTCCCCTTGTTCTATAATAAACGACTGACTCATTCACCTTCTTTCTCCTGATTCTCATCACCGTGATGACGACGACGATGATCAGGATGATCACAATCAGGCTGCTGACTCCGATGGCGACCCACACCCACCAGATGAGGCCCAGCAGGGTCAGCTTCCCGGCGCCTTTGGGTGGACGGCTGTTGCTGCCTAGACGAGTAAAGACAATCAAAGAGTTATGTTCGGTGAACAATCACTTTGTACAAAATGTAAAATAACACGAAGAGTTGAAACTACACACAAGTGGAATTGCAAGTTGGATTATTGCCATCCTTTGAATTTGTAGAACCTGGTTGTGGAGGAATGAGTTGGTTTGGGCCTGGTGTGGTTTTGTGAGCTGAAAAAAAAAACATCCTTATTTTGGCAACTTTTGTTGTGAGACGAGAAGTTTCTTGTGGTAGAAGCATCATACCAATTACAGTGATACTCAGAGTTTTGATAAAAGTTTCCTTTTCATTCGTCACTTGAAGCTGCCAGGTCCCCCCRTGTGAGGCCTTCACAGGGTTGAGCTGAACCGGGTTTGATGTCTCCAGTGAACTGTCAGGCTTCTGCCACTGAACTGTGAAGGCCTGGTTTAGTCCTGTTACCAGACACTGCAGAGTGGCGTTGGTGCCCACCTGGACATGGCTGGTGGGAACAGAGACTGAGAGATGAAGAAGAAGGTACAGTGAGAACCACGAAGACCAGAGGAGAACCCAAGATCAGTAAAACTATGTGGCGTTTTCYAACAGGAGAGTCAATCAATACTCTATGGTTTAGGGAGATTTTATGATGGTTCTGACCACTGACGGTAATAAAAATGGACATTAACATTCATTGTTCTAAACCACATGGATCCAATTCAAAACTTTAATTTTATGTGGCCTGATAAAGAGCTTCAAAGACATATTCATGTCTTTAAAATAAGCATACCTTAAAACCAACACTGAATAAACAAAAATAACACTTGAAAAAAACAAATCATCTTAAGAGTATTTTTAGTTTTTTGTCCAGACTTTAGTCTACATGGAGGGGTGGGACTTAAACATGAGCAACTAGGAGGTGCTTAACTTTTGTGACTTCAACTTCCTACTTCTTGTCCTGTGTCTATTTATAAAATATATAAATTATTTTGAAATAATACATTTTTACAGAATGTGCACATTAAAAAACAAAATTAGGAGCATCCAACAGACAGAAATTTTTGCTTATTATTATTGCTTTGTTGATTTAAAAAACATGTATATATCCTTTTCACATATTAAATTTCATTATTACAGCATCAACAAATTATTACAGCTGTGTTCAGTAGAGTTTTTGTAGTAAAACTGACTTGCAGAAGTGAACACTTTTGTTTAAATTTAGCATCTCACCTGAGACCACAGCAAGTGTTTCTTCATAAGATCCAGTGTTTGTTTTACAAACAAACGTTCCAACATCTCCTTCTTTCACATTAGTGATTTCCAGATTGTCGCTTCTCAACCTTGATTTGTCTTTAATGTGACTCGGACCTAATGCAAAACAAACATACAATAGTGCAATATTATTAATAGGGAAAATAAAAAAATGCTTGAATTATTAGACTAATTTTATGCCAACCTCTGTAGACGTGACCACTTGCAGTAATTCTATAAATTAGTTTACTTTCATGAAACCACTCCACTGTGCTTCCAACCTTTGCAGCTCCACATTTTAAGAKGATTTTCTGTCCGACTTCTGTGATGACAGGGTTTCCTGTTGCAAAGAGCGCACCCAGCACTGAGGAGAGAGAATATTTATAAAACATCAGCTATTAGAGAAACATCTGAATGCATGATGTTAAAGACATTTTATCAGTTTGAACTGGGGGATTTAAAATGAGTAAAACACAAGCTACATTCAGTTTTTGTTAATTCTTCAGTTTCAACCCTTTAACAATTCTTTTTGAAACGTTTTACTTATTTAGAAAAAAACTTACCAAACAAGACAATTGTCTTCATTCTAAATGTTGGACCTGAAAATTAAAGAAAAAATAAATACATATATTATAGATGATAAAATCTTAAAGGAGCACTAATGCAGTAGCTCCTAATGTGGGAACAAGCATCCATTTTATCACATCTGTAGCTTCTGTTTGAGAGCACAACATGTGATCCTTCAACCACCAAGCTCCTTCTCTACTTCCTTCCTTTGACTCCATTTCATGTTAAAAAAGAAACTTACACACACTATTTCTGGGTTTAAAAACACAAGTGTTTAACAAAGAAACAAATGAGCATTTGTTTGTTCTTTTACATTTATTTGATGAAGTTTAAGGTGCCTCCGCTACAGATGCTGCGGTTTCATAAAACTGTTCGTCCAAAAGAAGTTGGACGTTTGGCTGCTGTTAACCCTCTTACATCATTAATACGTGATTCAATTTTTGCCGTGAATTATTTCAAACATTTAAGAGATTTTAAAAGGTTTAACTTTGTCAAGCTGAAACACCGTTTAAGCACATTTCTTTCAGACTTTTGGTCAGTTCAAAAGCAACAAATTTGTTTTATATGCATCAATCAGATCACTTGATGGTCTAAATTTGACAGATTAGGCACGTTGTGTTGTACTGGAGTAACAAATTAAAAACACTAAATTGTTTTTTAATGAGCAAATCAAAGTGACATTTTTAACTTTAAGAAATCGAAAGAATTAAACGAATTTATCACTTTTTTCTACGTCACTTTAAATTCACTTTGCATTTTGGAATAAAAAGTCAAACATCGAAACAAGCAGTTTCACTTATTTAAAATAAATGAATAAATATTTGAGATCTTACCCAATTTTTTATGTCGTAATGAGAACTTTTGTGTCGTTACTGAAGCTGAAAGTCTCTCATCCTCTCAGGTCTTCTTGGCTCTGAAAACCAAGTCTGCAAAAAGCTGTAGAACGCGGAAGAGACGTGAAGAGAAACCAACACTTTGGAAAGTTTTAGGCCAAAGTAAACCCCAGCTCTCTGTGGGTTCGCTACATCTGCCTGTTTTCTTGCAATCAAGGGCATTCTGTTCGCAGAGCTTAGGAAAGTTCAAAATACAGTGAAAATAATAGAAATAAGACAAAAAAAAACAAGTGACAGAGAGTAATCTTTATTTATCACAGCAAAAGTAACAAAGCATTTGTTTCCAAAATAAAAAACAAATAAAACACAAGTCACCCCTCACCAAGCTTTTTAGAAAAACATGTTGATTTGGTGTTTTCATTTCTTTTCTTTCTTTCTTTTTTTTACTTTATATTTCTAGTCTTTTTTATTCTTGTGACGGGTGCTGAACTGGTTTTACTTCTGCACTCAGACGGGTAGAGGAGGCTGAGTGAGGTTAAAAGTGGTGACACCGAGCTGCAGCTATCCGGTAAAAGAGTGGGGCGCCTGGAAGCAACATGTCTGAACAGATGAGGGCAGTGACCACTGATGGCAGTCGGGGATGGATTAGCCATAACAGTTGAGTAAACATTAATTAGAAGTGAACATACTCAGCGGTCTTAGTC